GGGGTTTCACCATGTTGGTCAGGCTGGTCTCGAACTCCTGACCTCAGGTGATCCACCTGCCTCAGCCTCTCAAAGTGCTGGGATTACAGGAATGAGCCACAGCGCCCAGCCTAAAGGTTATTCTAATGTGGATGAAGATTTTTAATCCAGAGGCAAAGGAAAAAAAAAATACAGTTTTAAAACCCATTTAGGAGACAACTATGTCCATGGACAGCTCCCTCCTGCACACTGCAAATAAACAATGTCCCTTCACAGTCAAAATTTATTTTCCAGGCAATAAACTCTATGCATCAGAACATATACATGTTCCTAGTCCAAAGTCAAAGCTTTCAGTTGAAAATAACCTGAAGTTCCTTCCATAGATTTATCTGCATGACTGAACCTGCCTCCCCTAAAGCCCCTCCCTCACAATCATCCTTTCATTAACATTTGTTTTTCTGGCATAATTCCTCTGAGTTACATCTTATATTTAAGTTTAATCTAGGTATCATTTTGGGGCAAGTCAAACTTTATGTACTTAGTTGACTTCCCAAACCTCAAGCCTCTCTCTCTTTTTCTCCATCCTTCTTTCATTGGTTCTATTTCAGGTTCTTTTCATCCCTTATCTAAATTATTGCAATAAGCTCCCAACTGCTCTCCCTGCCTTCAGTCTCTTTGTTTTACAACCAAACTTCATCACTCAAAGTCTAAGACACAAGTTGGATCGAGTTTATCTCCATCCTTCAGCAGCTTTCCATCAGACAATAAATCCATTGCCTCGGCCTAGCATTTCTCAGCAAACCAGAACCTGAGTCCTACCTGCTGTTTTTCCTTCTTCTGCCACTGCCCACCAAAATCTCACAACTGACGGAACATTCTTGCCATTGTCCTTCTTGTCTCTGTGTTTGTGCTTGTCCTTGTTTCTACCTGGAATTCTCTTACCCATTTTCTAATGAACCATGCCTCATTACTGAAGGCTAACCTCAAATGTCCCCGCCTCATGAAAGCTGCCTGTTCTGGCCTCTCCAGAAGTCAGCTGGACTCTATCCTGCTTTTCCACAATACTTTTTATAAACCTATATTAGCAATTCATACACAGCACTGTAATTCTTTCTTGACTTTATATTCTACCAAACAGTAATTTCTTTTAAGGGCGGGAACTATGTTACTTACTCTATTTTCAGGGCATAAAAGAAGGCTTGATGCATAGTGTGTTCTTAATTATAAGCTGAGTAAATGAAAATTACTATGGCACCCAAAACACTACAGTTGGAAGTATGTGAATAAGAATCCTAGAGTATCTCCCACAGAGATAAATGTGAATGAATAACTTGGGGAATATAAGTAGTTTCTTAAACACTAAAACTGCAATATAAAACACAATGAATACAATGATTATCTGTATTCTTTTTCGTGATTAGTACCAGTAAAACTTCAATTTTTCTTGTGCATTTTACAAGATACGCTCATTGGGAGCAGGGACCCTAAATACCTTGTTCAGCCCAATAGTGCGGATGCTCCAATGTTATTTTTTAAAGTAGATAGACTCACCTGGAAAATGTTTTAGCTGCAGTTCACTTCCCATACTTAATTATTTCTTCCCTGAATGGTAGTTACTTTTGTGAATATACTCTCAACTAGGTTATAGGTCTTTCTGGTGAGGAAGGGTTTAAACATTTTTGTTCCCAAAGGAGTGTCTTGCACATAGTAGGTATTCAGTAAATGCCCGATACATGATTTTTATAAAATATTCACTCAGAAAACTGTGAGATTTTGAAAATGAGAATTTTGAAGGTGATGTCTTCCATTCTAAGCTAAAAGGCTTAGCTTTGCAATATTAACTTAGGATTAAACTCTGTGGCAAGCACCCATTGGTAAGTATTGCTAAGCCCAAAACCAAAAAGTTGACAACGAGGTACTCGGGAGTGGAACACACCTATCTCAAAAAAAAAAAAAAAAAAAAAAAAATCACTATGCATGTGAGGTTATAATATTCTCCACTTAAGAAGTCAGTGCTATAATGCTTTTCCTGGTGCTGGTAGGCTGGCACTATTTATATATTTTGTAATATCTCCCCAACAAATGGCTTTTATCTGACAGGCTGTGAATAGAATACATTAAGGGGGATTGGGAATGAATTCTTTCAGCCAAGTTAAATGATTAGTGTGAGAACCGAACTCCAAGAGCATGGTGTCAATAGCGTAGTCAACTATTGACAGCCCAGTCCTCCTTTGTCAGGTACAATTTTCACATGATAAGTTTCAGAAGGCAATGGGACAGAAATGAAGAACTCTTTAAAGACAAACGGATTTGAACAGAAGATCAAAATTAAAATGGAGTTTGAGGATATCCAGAAACACTGGCAGAGGTTAAAATAATGGGTCCCCAGAATGGAGATCACTTAGCATTTAGGACAGTGCCTGGGAAATTCTCACATTTACTTTACAGGTTGAGGAATTTCTTAAGAAGGAGCCATGGGAGATGGCAAATTTTAGAAGAATCAGAAAATTAGATGGAAATGGAGACATCTAGGGGCTAAGTTGCTTCAAAAATGTTCACTTCGCTTCTATCTGTACATCCACTCAAGATGGGTATTCTAAATGTAGGGGTAACAAGGAAGCTTTGATCTCTGCTCTCTCAAAGCACGTAAACCGATATCTCTAAACAGTCCTAAAGGATGAGAGCCGAGGAGCTATAGTTTGACTCTAGTGTGGTCGCTTGTTTCTCTAAGGTCACCAGTTTCATTGGAACATTTTGGTCATTTTTCAATGGGGTGGGGGAGATTGATATTCAAGTAAAGGAGATAAAGGGTGCCTAAAAATGTAAACTTACTGAGTTGGCCATAAAAACAGAGAAGCAAACTAATAAGCTTTTGGAAGTGATGCTGTTCCACCTAGCCAAGAGTGAGACATGTTTCAGGATGTAAGAAGCCAGAGGAAATGAGATAAAAGGATTAGATTGGACACTTCTGTGAGTCTGGGATCTCACCTAGGTTGGGGAGTGGTGGTAGTTTTAGCAGATAGGGAATTCACATCTGTGAGAGCAGAGCTATCTTCTCTACTGTGTGTCCCTGCTGTATATCAGAATCGGAATATTAGAATCACCAGGGAAGCTTTAAAAAACAACTAGTGAACTCTGGCACTCCCCCAGAGATTCTGATTTAATTAGTCTGCGCTGGCAACAGTATTTTAAAAAGCTGTTCAAGTTATTAAGTACAGCAAGAATTGAGAACTAACCACTGATCTAGATTTAAAAAAGATATAATGGGGAGGGGGAGGGGGAAATTGACTAAGTCACTTTCTACTCTTTTCCCTCAGAATTAGGCCTTGTTTTCTAAAAGTCTGACATGACTACAGTTCTTGAGATGGTATTTAATTAGAGGGCATATGGATAAGCCTTCTTTGCATATACACAGGAATATATATTTACATATACACATACATGTATCTTTACATACATACATATATTTGAATAAACATTAGAAAAATATAACCAGAATAGCGAATTTGAAATTTCATGTATATTATAGCTTAAGAAGAGGCAAAAGTACTGAAGTTTAGAAAGTATGTCAATGAACTGTCTGTAAATTCTAGTACAGGTGGAATGCAGATATGACAAAAACTTCTCAAAGAGGTAGGCAAAAAACTGGAGCTTGCGGAACACGGAATAAAGTAGCCGAGAACCTAAGAAATCGTTCTGTGCAGATCTTCCAGTTCTAAACGTGTCTCCCTCCCACAGCAAGGCAGCCAGCCCAATGCCATCCTCTCTCCGCTCTTCCCACATGGATGCCTGCACCTCATCCCAAGCACTCAGATGCTTCTGGACCAGGCTCCAACTCAAACCAGACTCGCAGTCAGGATCCCATGACTGATGTCATAGCCTGCAACTCATTCACGTCTCCTCTTTCAGATTCAAGTCTGGGCTAAACTTAACTTAGGGTGGTGTGGCTACCCTGGCATAATAGAACAGTGCTCACAAGGTGTTCCAGCTCCACAAGTACAAACGTGAAACCAAAGCGACCCAAATCCAGGTTATGCAAGCTCAAAGGCGAGGGTGAGGGGAGAGATGAAAATCCTAAACCGAGCACTTTTTATTTGCCATTCTCAGAGCATGATGCAACCTCAGGTTGCCCAATTTATATTTGCACATGTTCTCCTTGTCCACAAGGAGCTTCGAAAGTTTCCAACTCCATAAAATTCCATTGAAAAAGTTCAAGAGCTACCTAAAAATGTTGCACGACAGGCAGGTGACCCCACCTTTACTTGGACCCAACAAAGTGTGCTAAAAAGGTTTGGAGTTGCGTAGGGAGGCCAGAAGTGAGAAGTTGCAAAGGCAGGCAGAGAAGAACTCGACAGCCACGTTTCCACCTTTCCCCCACCATTCTCACGCCCACTGGATTAGAAACTGCCAAGGGCATGGCACATAACTCACCTTTCTCCTTGCCCTGCCTCCTGCCCAGCTCCTCTTTCCAATCCAAAGGGCACTAATGATGGCAAGGGTGAGTGGGGAAAAAGCATACTGAAGTCCGCAGCCCTCTTCCTCTTCCTGTTGCCTCCCCCTCCCCCCCCCCCGACTTTCCACAGCGTGGCAGCCTCCAGGTCACACAGTAATCGGCTACACCTTTGCACCACCCAACAAAATGGCAGGTTAGCAACAGGCGAGGCCGAGAGCCAGACGCTCGCCCCGGCCAAGCGCAGCCCCTGGCCATGCTCTGGGTTTCTAAAGGCGCCTCCGAGCCCCAACACCTTTCTTTCCTCCACATCCCCAATGCTCGGCTCTGCCGGGCCGCCTGCTCGCCCTCCCCAGGCCATTTCCGTCGCCCGCGGGGGAGCAGGTGCCCGCGTAACAGGTGCTGGGCGGGAGGGCCCGGGCGGCGGCGCGGGGCACGGAGAGCGCAGGAAAAGGCCACGTCGAAGGGAAGGAGGCCGGGGGCGGACGCAGAGGAAGACAGACCGGGGGACAAGGATGCCGCCGCCTGTCCTCGCTCCCCGCGCGACCCTCGCTCCGGGGGCCCCACTTACAATCTCCAGGCAGACGAAGGCGCCCGAGTAGGTCCGCAGGATGTCGGGGCCGGCGGGCAGGGTGACCCGGGGCGCCGGGAAGGACACGGCGGGGTTCGGGGGCGGCGGGACTGACGCTCCGCCGGCCGACATGCTGCCGCTGCCGCTGCTGCGTCTCCGCGCGCCGCCGCCGCCGCCGCCTCCCGCCTCCCGCCTCCCGCCTCCCGCCTCCCGCCTCCGCCTCCCGGGCTCCTGCCGCAGCTGCAGCCGCAGCCGCCGCTAGGCTCCGCGGGGTCCGGGCGCGCCGCGCGGGAGGAGGCGTGGCCGTGGGGGTCCTGGAGCCCCTCCCCGTCACGTGGGCCCAGGTGAGCGCAGCTCCGCCCGGTCGCCCGAGCCGCTCGCGATCACGTGCACAGGTGCGGCCGCCGCCGGGCGCGGTCCTCCCAGCTCTGCCGTCCTCGCCTCCTGCCCCGCTGGCCCACACACCTGATCGCTATTTTTACCTTCTAGCCCTCCCCTTAGTTTGTAACTGTGCTCTCTACCTGTCTTTTCCCCAAGTCTCAGAGCGCGCCCTCGCCCACTGTGCTCAATTTGACAGATACACAGGTCTTGGGGCTGTGACTCAGAAGGTAAAATCGAGGTCACCAGTCACACTTAAAAAGTGGGGTGCATATGTTCTAAATGGGACTCGAGTGGGATTTTTAAAACGCCACTCGGGCAGCGTCACGCGTAGGAGTTGGATGAGTCAGCTGCAGCAGCCGCTGGCGCGGGGTCCCTGCAGGTCACCAGAGGTGTCCTCGTCCGTGAAACGGGGATGTGAAACCCACTGGCATAGATGCTCACATTAGATCACATAACATGAAAAGAGTTTAGCGCACAGTAAGCTCCTTAAATGCTAGCTGATATGATGACAGCTCTTTTCCTTACACACGCGCGTATCACTACTCAGTGGACATACGATGTTGCATGGGTTATATTTTTTTACATAGAACTTTTAATTATTGATTTCACTGGTATAAAACTACTTGCTTATTGCCTTTAAGGGCTTAAGGGGATTTTTTTTTTTTTTTTAATTCTATGTCTGGTTCGAATTCTCTGCTCTAGTTTATCCCCATTTATCTCCATTTTATTCTTGGTTTTTTTTTTTTAAAATTTATTTATTATTATTAAACTTCAAGTTGTAGGGTACATGTGCACAACGTGCAGGTTTGCTACATATGTATACTTGTGCCATGTAACGTCAACATTTTGTAAGTTCAGTAGAGGAAATAAGCTTAATTTGCTCATCTATTAAAGATGAGCAAATCTACAAGCATCAGCACACACAGGTAGACCACGTTGGAAAAAAGAAAACATTAGCTAATCTCATCAGACGTTCTCCAAGTTGAATCCTGACCTTGCCTGTCAGGTTCACTCTCTGAGGAACTGTATTTAGCACTATGCTCTGGTCAGCATATTCTAGTTACTCTACTTCTCTATTATTTTATAAGTGAAACTCATAGGTGTGGTTGTGGCATCCGGGTAAAAACCACAAAACAGGGTGTGGGTGAAACCTATTGTATATCCCTCCTCTCTCCACCTCTTAGTCACCGCTTTCTGGTATTTAATGTGTGGTGTTTATTTAACAGGAAATTTTAAGTTTTCTGCATTGATTTGTTTGATCGATGAGCTCTTTCTGTGTTCAGACTCCGATTGTCAGGGGATGATCTTTCTGTTTTATTTTCTGCCTAAGAATTCTCAGTAAGCACTTAAAAAAATGTTCAAAGGAAAGACTTCAAAGAAGTAATCATGGAGATGATCAGCAGCTACAATATGCCCAAAATATTTTAGTGAATGAACTTAATATGTCCTTGGAGTTTCTAGAAGGGCTAATGATTCAGAAGAGCCTCAAGTGAGCTTATTTTAACATTGCCACCTAGGAGAACACTTTCACTGGGTCTCTTACTGCACCCTCCTTGCTGTACTGCATATCCTCAACCATCTTTGCTTTACCTCTCCTTCCTGCTTCCACAGTGACCAGTGGCATGAAAAAGGTTGTCAGTGAGCCCTCTGTTGTTGTAACATATTACCTGCTTGATAAAGAACACTTTTTTTCCTTTCTTTTTTCTTTTTCTTTCTTTCTTTTTTTTTTTTTTTTTTTTTTTTATTGTTTTTCTCTTTGAGAGAGTCTCACTCTGTCTCCCAGGCTGAAGTGCAAGAGTGTGGTCTCGGCTCACTGCAACCTCTGCCTCCCCGGGATCAAGCGATTCTCCCGCCTCAGCCTCCCGAGTCGCTGGGAACACAGGCGCATGCCACCACACCCAGCTAATTTTTTATTTTTAGTAGAGACAGGGTTTCACTATGTTGGCCAGGCTGGTCTCAAACTCCTGACCTGGTGATCCGCCCACCTCAGCCTCCCAAAGTGCTGGGATTACAAGCGTGAGCCACCGTGCCTAGCTGAAAGAGAACCCTTTTCTAGAATGCTTTTTTCTCTTATGATCACTACCAACACCTATTTGTTCTTGATATTTTTTCTCTTATGATCACTACCAACACCTATTTGTTCTTGATAATACCAGTTTCCCTCTAGTGAAAGCAACACCTTTAAAATCAAAGGAAGAAAACGCACTTAGCTCCACTCCACCCCACCCCTCTGCCTCTTCCTCCAGGACACTAACCATGAGCTCTTAACAGTTTCACCTTTCTGCTCTTTTCCCATCCTGTTCCAGTGGTTCCTGACTTCCAGCATAACTTTAACCCTGCTCATAGATTTCCTTTGAACTCCATTTTTATGGAATGTCAACATTCACATTACAATATTTTCAACGATCTTGACTCAAAATGACTTGCTACTGTCAATAAATTCTCACCTTATTATTGGGAATTTTTCTGCTGCCATTCTCTTGAATGCTGACATTCTGATGACTGTCTCCTATTGGTTTATCTCTTTCATCCCCAATTCTTTGGCCCCCAGCATTACCATCCCTCATATTCTCTCATTGGTCCCATTCTAGCTTTTCTAGCTTCCCCACCCATGTGCTTATGGGAAGGCATTTTCGTGATGCTCGTATTGGTCTCACATTGCTTCCCATCTTGTACTTGACTCTAAACTTACTCTCACCATTCCTTATTCTTCAACTTGAGTTCAACCCACAGTCTACATCTGCCCTCTCTGAATCATTCAACACACTGCCCATGGTTGCTGAAAGAAGGTCATCATGAAGACTGTTGGTTCCACTACAAATTCTTGTGATCTAACCTTGGCTGGGCCTTAGGTATTCCCAGTTGTCATTTTCCTTTTACCTCCCCCCGCCCCCGCCCCCGCCACTCCCATGCCCGGCATATTTCTCTCAGTTCTTATCCCATAGCTTCTTTTGTTTTACCGGTCTTTGTGCCTGTCACAAGTAGACATTATGTTCAGCGAATAAAAACAAATCTAGACTGTTCCACCCTTCCATAGTTTCTTTTAGTTTACAAGAAGTTTTAGGACACCTAGCCAGTAATACTTGTCTCATTGAAAACACTGCCATCAATCCAGTTATCCAAGACAAACACCTGGGTGTTTCCCTTGGTACCTCCTTCTCATGACACATATTTAATCAGTCACCAGGTTCTGGCAGTTCTACCATTTTATTTTCTAGAATAGATCCACTTTCCATTCCCTCTGTTCTGACTCTGACTGTCCCTCTCACAGTGAATGCTCTTCTCACAAGGAATATGCTTCTGACAGTGAATTTCCCTCTCTTATATTCTCTGTACTGCTATGTGAATGCTCTCTAAACAGAAAATTTATTAGTCACCCCTCTACTTAAAACCCCTCCAATTCCTTACTCTTCTCAGGGTCAATTACAGATGCCCTGGGGTGCATTCAAGGTATTTCTGGCACAGGACTTCTGATGATCCCTCCCACCTCACCAGCCTTGTTGATCCACCTACAGCTTCAATACCTCCTGCCTCCAACCTTTACACATTCTCCTCTCTTTTGCAAAATATCCTTTCTTCTTACCACTCCCATATCCTAAACCTATTTCCTGTATCTTTTGGGTCACAGGGCAAGATCTTTCTGGCAGCCTTTCTTTGCCCATTCAAGATTATGTGGACCACCTCTCACCCAGTGTGTTTCTATAACCTGCTGGGCTTAATCCACATAGAGAACATATCTCACTGAATTGAAATTGTGTTTTTACTTGTCTCCTATTCCTTGCTAGTGTTGTGTAACAGGATATTAAATTGAAAAGTTCAGTGGAGGCACCAGAAGATGGTAGATATCAGATACCAACATAAGCTGTTGAATCAGACCACCAGAAGTTTTAAAGTGAGCTGACTGCGATCTCCTTAGACAATCTATAAACCCCTTACTTCTATCAAGAATATGAAAAGCTCAGGAGTTAGAGGATTTGGAAAGATTTCTTTTTTGGCAGTGGAGTGGGGAGGCAGTGTGCTAGGAATCACACTTCACTCTTCCCCCCTCCATCCCCCTCTTCCTCACTGGAGGAAACAGCTGAGTTTTATTCACATTATATAATAGAAACTCAAGTAAAATCAGCTGACCAAATGAACGCTGCATCTGAATTTCTATGCTTCATCGTTGTTCCTATGCTACTTCATGTTTCATAAGAAGTGTTTACTTCCCCAGGCAAAGTTGAGCCCCATCTCAGCTTTTTATCATTTCCCCTTTGTATTTTTCTTAGGAAATTAATTCTTAATTTTCTTTACTCTCTCCTCAATGTTCAATTTTTGCTTTATATGCAGCCTTTTGCATTGAATATGTATGTTTCCCTTATCATCAAAAACAGCAACAAGTAACTCCAGTCTAAAATACAATAACCAAGACTAGATTAACCTTCCTTGCATGAAACAGCTAAAATCCCAGAGGAAATATATGAAACAATAGTTTCAGACGTTGCATTTCAGGTAACACAGAACAGTGATCCACTGGAGATGGGAAGAAATGATGGGAGCCTTGCGATTTCCCCCGTTTGGAGAGAGTTTTCAGAGCACAGGGAGGGTAGACACTGGTGGAAGCTAGCAGTCTCCATGAGATGAGGTGGTGAAGCTGGGAATTTGAGGAGGCCAATCAAGCTAGAGTTCACAGGGTACTGGGAAGAAAAGAGCTGTGTACAGATAAACACTAGGAGGCCAGCAAAAGGCCCCCTTTATTAAATCTTCAACTGAGTGCTGATTAGCAAATGAAGGTGACTAACTTACCCAAGGCCAGGGCAGAAACATTCCAAAGGAGCAGAGGAACAATCCCAGGAATTCATGCA